TAGCCCCGAGTCTTCAGTCAACAATGTTCCCTTCCCTTATAACCCCTGACTCACCCCAAATATAGTGTATGCATTTACATCCACCATCAAATAAACCAGTATGAACAAGCAAGGTCCATCTCATAGAGCTGCTTCATTAGGGATCACTGTGGGAAGGGCCGACAACTAAAGACCCCCGAGGAAGGCTATCTCCCCTCCTCTGGTACGCTTGGCTCTCGCTTCTAATCGGACAGGGTTCCACTAGTCCAGAGCTCTGCCTTCCCTTCTCTGCTTGGCTCTCAGAGGCCTGGAGGAGAAAGGTAGACTGCTGGACCCCATTCCTGACTCTCAGTGGAACACCAGCATGCCCAGGTAACCAGAGAGTAGGCAAGGAACAATAGAATTTGTCCCAGACTCTGCTGTTTCCCCTTCCGGTCTGGTGAAGGAAGACACGGGCTGCAGACCCCAGTTCCAGACTTTATTCTGCCTTCCCGAAGCAGTGTGCCTAGGCGTGACGCAGTGTGACACATGAGGACATGCAGCATGGGAGACAAACCTCAAATTATCAATCTTGGATGTCCTATAAGGTCCTTTTAAAACAGAAATGCTTAACGAAATTCTCTTGGACCAAGAAAAAGGTCCAAATCCTTTTCCTTTCAAAGGGACTGTTAATGAGCATCAGGAAAAAATGGCATGGTGGGTATGCTGAAGAAGACCACTGCCCTGGTGACACTGGCTGTGTGTGACACTCCACAAGACAGGCTACCAATATTGTACACAAAGCCTCTCGTGTTCTTGAATTGACTCCCTCAAAATTCATCACATCCAATAGAATACAGATGAGAAGCTGGGTGTGCCCAGAGAAAATCAGACGCTGAAAACAAGACTACCAGTGCCAGGATGGCCAAACAAGAAGGGGTCTGGCAAACAAAATTACAACAGAAACCATGGGAGGTCACTAGTGGAAAGCCTGACTCCATGCTGTAAGAAAGGCCAATATAATCAAATCTCTTTGATGGCTTGAAGGGAACTGGATACAGTTAAATGCTAGAGTGTGTTGAAAGAAAGAAAGAAAGAAAGAAAGAAAGAAAGAAAGAAAGAAAGAAAGAAAGAAAGAAAGAAAGAAAGGGGGAGGGAAGGGAAGGGAGGAAGGGAAGGAAGGGAAGGAAGGGAAGGATGGGAAGAAAGAAAGAAAGAGAGAGAGGGAGGGAGGAAGGAAAGGAAAGAAGGAAGGAAGGAAGGAAGGAAGGAAGGAAGGAAGGAAGGAAGGAAGGAAGAAACAACAATAAAACCCACCACTACCATCATCAATAACAACAAAAAAACCAAAGGCCCAATGTGAACCAGATTCTATTTTCAAAGGTCTAACCACTTGTGGTTTTTCTGACAATCGGGACGTTCTACAAGGCAGAAGAAATGGACTCATCAAACTGAAGACAGCAGGAAGCGAATACCATGGAGACCGACTGGGGATATTAAGACTTACATGCATTCTTAATATGAATGGTATGAATCTGTTTTCAATCTTTGGTATGACGAGCATCTCACAAGCGTCGTGCCTCTCACACCTTAGAGGGCACAGGTGAGAAGACACTGATTGTGATTCCCCCCAGAAGCACTACATTTCTGCTCTAATAACAAAACACAAAGCCTTGGAAGAGACCAACAGGTTAGCAATCCTCATCAGAAAATGAGGTCATTCTTTTCCAACAATCTTTTTTTTTTTCCAACCTACAGAGTCAAAGGGAAGTCATGAGTATGACTATCCTGGGAAAATCAGAGCAGCACGCAAGCCAGTGTGTCCTTGGATTGTGTAATCAGTCCAGGTACCTCTCAGGATTGGAGGAGATGCTTCAGGTATTTATCATTTATTCATTTATTTATTAACTTTTTACTGATCCTTTGTATATTTCATATCATGTGTCCCAATCTCACACATCTCCTGTTCCTTTGTATCTGCCCTCCACCTTTGCAACCTCCCCATGAAAAGAATAAAAATGTTGTCATGGAAACTGTAGTCTATCACAGTGGGTCCTACCGTATACCCCTCTGTCCACACATTTTTACTTGCAAATGTTCACTGCAATGAGTCATTGGTCTTGTTCCAGGCCTCTGGTTTTTGCTCCACCATCAACACTGGGTCCTCACTGGGACTCCACTCAGATAACCTGTTGTTGCCTTGTGTCATGGAGATCCTGTATGCTTTGGATCCATAGGACCAGCACACTCCAGCAGTCCATAGATGGGGTAGATATTGGGGTGGACCAACTTAAGCCCTGGATCTAGACCTGGGTTGTGTCTGAGTTGGTCAGCCCGCATGATAGGAAGAAGGGAGGGTCTTCCAAAAAGAAGGGAAGACCATGGGAGCTCCAAGGCACAGAATCTAGCCCCTTCCAGGAGTCCAGTATAAAGCCAGGCCAGCAGTGCTCTGCATAGCTAGGCGGCACTGGAGGAGTTGTCAGCTCTTCCCAGCATATTTACAGGTGCTGCAATGGGAGACGCCCTAAGTGGGGGCTGCTGTCTTACTTTACTGTCAGGCACATCAAAATCCCCTTCATTTTAGACAAGTCCCTCTACTCTCTCCTTTTTACCAGCTTAGCAAGTAGCCAACCCCTGAATCGTGTATAGGCCCAGGAAACTGACTGTGACTTACGTAAGTTTATAGACATACAAACTTGATATCTATAATTCCAATTGCTAATATATAAGCAATATAAGTTAAGACTTCACATTCCCTGATGTGATCATCTGCATTACATGGGGAAGCAGAAAAAAACTTCTTTTCAAAAACAGTGTTGTTGGATCTCCAAGGCATGAGACGAACTGTGTAAAGACTCATGGGTGGATGAAGGCAGAGACTAGTGTGGCCAGGACTGGCAAAGCACTTAACGCCTGCGATGGCTTGCCTGCTCAGTCATCATCCTCACACATGGAAGCTCAGGGATGTTTACAAGCACTGGTTTGTCATACACACAGGAACATGGACAGAGTACCTTGAAAGTGAAGGGCAACTGTCTGAGCAGCCCACACTTGTGACAAGCCAGAAGGACTGCAGTCTACCTCCGAGGGGTCACATATCAAGGTCACTGGCATAAACAGAGCTCTGCTTCCTTAATGGCCATAGCTCAGTCACTTCTTAGCTCATGCTGGTAGGCAAGGTAGAATAGGCTCAGTCTCCATAATCCCCCACCCCAATCTGACTTGCTGGACTGGATCCAAGAAGTACCCACTTCCCACTCACTCCCAAACCTGGAAAGACCCCCACATCTTCAGCAAGGAGCATATGACTTTTTCTTTTGATTTCTTTTATTGTGTGCCCAACCTTCCCCAAACTGCAAACTTTTTTGGAGACAGGGTCTCACTATGTAGCCCTTGCTAACCTCCAAACTGCTGGTATTAAAGGTGTGTCTCACTACTCTCTTTCCCTTATATTTTCATCTCACTAAAATTTACCTTCCTAGTATGCCCTGTAGTTCTTTCCTTCACTACAGATATATCTATCTGTGGTTTTGTTTCTAGTGACAGGGTTTCTCTGTGTAGCCCTGGCTGTCCAGGCACTTGCTCTGTAGACCAGCTGGCCATGAATTCACAGATCCACCAGCCTCTGCTTCCAGAATGCTGGGATTAAAGGTGAGTGCCACCACTGCCTGGCAAGGTATCTTTGCTTTATCTCGTTTAAGTGCTTTGTCTTCTTTCCACTGAACAGAAGTAGGTGCTGAGCACTGCAGAGGCCTACTCACGGAAAACTGTCACTAACAAGTGCACACGCCTTCCCCAGTGGACAACAAACAGTAAACAGATAAAAAAGACAACAGTCAAGTGTGACAAGATGAACCTGGAGGAATTTCTTCAAGTGAATTAAATGAGACACACAGAAAGACAGCAGGAGGAACTCACACGTAGGATCTGAAACGTACACGCAGAAGCAGAGGATAAAATGGTAATTTACCAGAAGCTCACAATGGAAACAATCTATGAAGAAAATATAATGACTCTGAATACATATGCAGCAAGTACTGAGTGTACTAAAATTCACAGCCCACTCATTTGAAAGAAAGGACAGAAAGATACAGACACACAAATAGCAGAAGGTGTAAAGAGTTTCATCAGCAGACACATTCCAGGCTCCTAACCTACTAAAAAATATCAATAATCACACTACAGATGAAACAGACTTCATAGGGACTCCAGGACACTCATTTTAATGTGCTGAGGTCTGCACATTCTTCTCAGCTCATGGCGTTGTCTCCCCAAAAAACCACATTTCAAGCCACAGAGCAACTGTTCCCCAAATACCGAGAAAGTGAAATAATTCTTTGTATCTTATCAGCTCATAATGGAACAAATATTAGAAGCCAACAAGCGAAAATATAGAAATGTTACACACACAGAGACTGAACAACGTACTTTTCAACAACCAGTGATACACCTACTCACAGGTATAGAAAATGTGACACATTGACAACAGAAATTAGTCGACCATAAAAAAGACAATGGCCATTTACAGCAAAACGAACAAACCTGGAAGAATTTTGTGAGGTGAGGTAAGCAAGACACTGGATGACAATACACGAACTCACGTGTGATCTAAACCGGACTCAGAAGCTGAAGAGAAAAATGGCACTTACCAGAAGCTTCAGAGATAATTGGCCAAAGGACATTAAATTTCAGTTGAGCAGAAAGAGTATGTTGTTGAAATCTCCTGTGTGGTGTGGTGATATGGTCTATCTTTTATATAGTGAAAATCAATGTTTGCATCCAAGCTAATTTGTGAGCTGTGTATGTGAAGTGACAGGTGATATATATATAAATCACCATGTAATGTCCACATACAGTGATTACATTCATCAATACGTAATTTCTATCTGTCAGTTTAGTTAAGAAAAAAAAACAAAACCAACCCCCTACAATGAAAAGCTTAAAGTGGTTCTGTGTCCTGCTCTCCCCCCCTCTTCCCATGTTCCCCACACATCATCTCTTGGAGCTGAATATGGCTACCTACAAGGCCACTTAGCACTTACCTGTCAATGAACTGATCGATGATGACCATGTCACCAGGCTGGATCTCCTCTCTCAAGGACCCGCAAGCTGTGGTCACGATGACATGTGTACAGCCCTCTTCCTTCAAGGCCCAGATGTTCGCCTGGTAGTTGACTTTTGAAGGCATGATGGTGTGTTGTCTGCCATGTCTAAGGAAGGAGAAGGAAGTAGGACATCAGCCATCAGAGCCGGGAACTTTAACAGTTACAAAGAAACAGAGCAAAACTAAGTTCCTGGTGGCTGCCTCCCTTCTGCCTAACCGAGTAAACTAGGAAACTGTTCCACCTATGACTTCCTGATCTTCTGGACGACAGATCAGCTCTTTCATGACTAAGCTCTTTCATGACCACTGTTCTGGGCTTAACTGAACCAAAGCTCTTTGTTTATTTGTTTGTTTATTTATTTTGGAGACAGGATTTTCTGTGTAGCCCTGGCTGCCCTAGAACTTAGACACCCACCTGGTCCTGCCTTCCGAGTGTTGGGATTAAAGGTGCACACCACCAGTGCCCATCCCTGAACTGTAGATCTAACCTTGACCTGGACCACAGGCTATGTGTGACTGTACTTGGAGTCAGGGCTGGTTTTTTTTTGTTTGTTTGGTTGGTTGGTTTTTTGCTTTTAAAGAAAAACTTATGATTAATTTTTCAACATATTGTTCAATATACTGTTAATTTTTAATGACAAAAATTTGTTGTCCCACTGACACCTGACAACGCTCCAGTGAGCTACTACTTTCGTCAAGAAGAAGTAAACTTTGTGAGAGAGAAAGCACAACTTTCCAGAAGAGTGGTAACTTAAACTACAGGCCCAGGACGTCACAGCTTTTATTTTAAATGGGGAACAAGACATGAACACCAAATGTAGCACTGTATGTACTGTAACAACTGGACAAAAAGGGTTTTTAAAAATAATTATAGAAAAGGAACCAATATTTTAAAGGTTTTAAAAAAATCTTTCTATAGATAAAAATGCAATGAATGTTAGTCCAAAAGTATTTATACAGACATATTATAAAACATGCTTTATATATAATTGTTTCTCAATTAAACCTGTGTCTAAACCTATAGCATAACATAAAGCATTTCTTCTGTTAAGAGTGGCCATCTCAGTTTCTAATTTCCTTAAAGTTAGTGCATTAGTTTTCCAAATATAATTACCTGACATATTTTATTTAATAGCTACAAATCAAGTAGGCATTAGTTTTTCAAAGGGTTTACAGGTTAAATGCCATTTCATTAAGATGGCATGCATATCACACCTATGACAAGCCCCTTAAAGAATTATTATTACTAGTGGTGGTTGCAGCGGCAACCCATACCCTTAAATCCCAGAACTCCGGAGGCAAAGGCAGGTGGATCTTTGAGTTTGAAGCCAGCTTGTTTTATAGAAAGAGTTCTAGGATAGCCAGGGCAACAAAAAGAAACTCTGTCTTAAAAACAAAACAAAACAAAACAACCAAACACAAAGACCAAAACCAAACAAACAAAAAAGGAATTGTTACTAAACATATCGAAAAGGGCTGCAAGATTCCCCACAACCCCCTGGGGAACCAATTCCCCACAACTCCCTGGGGAACCAATTCCTTGACCTCAAGCATTCTAACTACTGAAACCTCTAGGAACCACTTCGTGTTTATTTAGGCCTTCTTTGCTTCCACACTTTCTCTCACTTGGGCCCTGACCCTCTTTAGATCTTAGTGCCGAGATCAAGAAGCATATGCACCTACACCGCACACAACTACTACACTAATGCTTCCTCTAGGTCTCCTTGGGGTCGACCCCTACAACTACAATCTGCCCCAAGGGCAATGCCCTTGTCTTTCTTCCTCAGTAGCACCTTCATGGAAATATCACTCTGTTGGACAAACATGCATTTGGTTAAAATCATTTAAGCACCTGAAACACACAGACATGAGCCTGAGAATCCACCCCCATTTAGGAAACTCAAGTAAATAGCTATAAACGGCTCAAGTTTTAAAATTAATATGAGGGGGCTTCAGGGATAGCTCAGTGGTTAAGAGGACTGGCTGCTCTTCCAGAAGACCCAAGTTCAATTCCCAGTACCCATGTGGCAGCTCACAACTGTCTGTAATACCTGTTCCAGAAAAATCAAACACCCTCATACAGACATACATATAGGCAAGGTACTAATGTGTATAAATAGAAGTAAATTAAAATTAATTTTAAAACTCACATTGGTTACATGGCATTTTTATGTTCTTATAAGCAATATTTTATATAGATGCCCAGACTATCTGGACCTCTTGAAAAACTAACACATGTGATGTCCTATCGGAAGTAGCTTTGTCAAGAGTTCATTTCTTTACCTGAGATAAGACAGAAATACACTGGAAGCAAGTAACACACAAACCTGTCTTTGTTCAATGTTTAAAAGGTTTGCTTATAACTTACATAATTACTCAGTATTGGAAAGTACACTAAAATCTATTTATATGCATATTTGAATACACACCTACACGAGTACTATTATTTACTCAAGTAGTCACATTTAGAAGAGTGGAAATATATGCAGGCATTGTTTGGTGGGCAACCATACTGGTCCAAAGCTCTCTCACTGACTTTCCCTGTGGCCTCCCAGAAGTCACCCAGCCCACTGGAAGCCAGAATTTTGCCCCCAGCTGTAAACCCATAATGAAATGGCTACGTGCTCTACAGAGCTGTTAAATAATACCTCAGTATCACCCTGTTCTTATTTAAAAAGAATTTTCGATGTCTTTTCTTGATAGCTAACAAACTGCGGACCAACAGGGCACCTCAGGTTTCCACTTGAGTTCACAGATGAAGTCTAAGGAGGTGGGACCCGTCATTACCCAGAGATGTACACATTTTCCTGGTGCTAGCCTCCAGAGCTTTCAGTAGGTTTTTCCAGAAGAAATCAAACATTGTGTAATTTAAACAATGGATTCTTTCTCGATCTTGGAAAAATTAGGCAGTTTTCTAGCAATGACTACAGGCCAAAGAAGACTTGTCTGAAATCCATGAGGGGATGACTAACAACTCCATTTTAATTTTGCTGGCTTCCAAGAACCTTCCACTTCACTGTTGTGGACAAAGCTTTGAAAAGTCCCCTTTCCATGTCTTACATAATAAAATCCATACATCTAAGTGTGGGTTGGCCTGAGACTCGTTCCCCACCACTAGACCATGAAACCCTTCTAGAAGGCACCACCTGTTGACATGCTTGAGAGAGTCTGCCTGCAGGCCACAAGTGATCAGGGGAGTTCCTAATGACAGGGTGCTTTCTGTGCAGCGGTGTACCCAGCTAGCTCTGTTTAGGGAGCGAGTAGATAAGCACAAGTAACCCACATTAGTTCAGGGACCCAAAACCTCCCCTCCACAGAAATACAGCTCCTCCTACACAAGGATCTGTCACGGACAAAGCATCGCATTACCCGATTATTGGAAGAAAGAAGATCATGAAAGGAAACTGTTAAGCTTCAGTGTCAGTCAACTGACAATTTTACAAACCGAGTCTAAACTTATCGTAGAGCCTCGTGTGATAAACAGGGTCGTGTAGAGACATATAACTCACACCTATTTTATTACCTGTCCCCAGACTTTAAGTTAAATTTAAATTCTCCCAAAGTAGTCATGTTTAAACATAAAAAACTGAAAAACCAACATAAAATACTTCACCTCGCAAGAAGTACACAGTCAACATTCTTTATCTTCCCCAAAATTAAGGCGTCAGACGGCTGCGTGCAATGAAAAGTAGACAGTTACAACCTAGTAATTTTAAAACATGCAAACAGTTCTGAAAAATTAGAATCGTTAAAAAGCACAGCAGATCGGTGGAAACTTGGGAGATTGAAGATACAGCACAGGGAACGATGCTTAGATTTTTAATGAGCAACACTATCGTCAATAAATATTGACTGAGCTCTCTGCTGGCACGGACTTGGCAGGCTCTGACGGCAGCAAGTGCCCCAGGAGACTTCGCATGTATCAGTGGCATTTGGGTGGTTCAAGAAATTGTGTGAAAGTCAAGGGCTGAAGGGTTAAGAAAACACTGTGGGGGCATCAAGAGCTCAGTGATGAACCGCCTGTTTGTGATGTCCAGGCCTAAGATGGCCATGGGATGACTTGAAGTGTCACAGGGTAAAACTGGAGAACCAAAGTCAGTAAGAAGCCCACGGGTAAGAGCGAGATGGGAAAGGACTTGGAAGAACCCAGGGCAGGTGAAGACCTTAGCTGAAAAGGAGGGCGTGGCTTGCTGCAAGCTCTTTTCAGAGAGTCAGAAGAATGCCAGTGACTGGAAGAGGCAATGTGGAATTAGGAATGTGGATACTCTACTCACACAGCCTCAGCGGGACAATGTTATATGGCTCATCTGGGTCAGAAAACGTCACTTCATATCCAGTCAGTCACCAGCCTGTCTAGCAAATTACCGTGGTGTGACCTGGGCTCTAAATTAGAAACAGATTTGAATGGAAAATGAATGAACATCTTGACTTCTAGAAGTGTAAACCAAGAAGTCACATGTGTGTTCAAGAGCCATGTCCTCAGGTCTCCTGTAGTCTTACGGACACATCAGCTGAGGAAATACAGTGCTAGGACCTCTGGCCTTATAGGCTGTCCACACAAAACCTTAGGACCTCTGGCCTTGTAGGCTGTCCACACAAAACCAACTGTTACTCTTGATTTAAAAATCAAGCCAGTAGATTCCCAGAGGCCTGCCGACAGCAGCAACAACCAGGTGACACTCTTTGTCCCCAATCCCCAGCCTAGAACATTTCACCCAAATACAAAAGAATATACCTTCTTCTTAGCACCTCATGGAACATTCTCCAATATTGATTATATACTTGGTTGCAAAGCATGTCTCAACAGATATAAGAAAAGTGAAATAACCCCTGTATCTCATCAGACCACCATGGGTTAAAGCTGGACTTCATTCAACAACAGAAACAACAGAAAGCCTATACACTCATGGAATTGGAACAACTCTCTCAATGAGCACTGGGTCAAAGAAATAAAGAAATTAAAAACCTTCTAGAATTCAATGAAAATGAATGCACAACATACCCAAAAGGACAAAAGCAATACTAAGAGGAAACAAGCTCTGGAACAAGAGAAGCAAACACCCAAGAGTAGACTGCAGGAAATGATCAAACTCAGGGCTGAAATCAATAAAATAGAAACAAAGAGAATACAAAGAATCAATGAAACGAAAAGTTGGTTCTTTGAGAAAATCAACAAGATAGACAAACCCTTAAGTCAAACTAAAAGGCAGAGAAAAAATATCCAAATTAACAAAACCAGAAAGGAAAAGGGAGCATAACAACAGACACCAAGGAAATCCAAAGAATCACTAAGTCTTTTATTTCAAAGAACAGTCAAAAGGACAAAATGGCAGCCTACAGAATGGGAAAGATCTTCACCAACCTCACATGTGACAGAGGACTGATATCCAAAATATATAAAGAACTCAAGAAACTAGATACCAACAAACCAAATAACCCAATTAAAAAATGTGGTACAGAGCTAATTAGAATTCTCAACAGAGGAATCTCTAATGGCAAAGAAGCACTTAAAGACATGCTCAATATCCTTAGTCATCAGGAAAATGTAAATGAAAATGACTCTGAGATTCAATCTCATACCTGTCAGAATACGGAAGATCAAAAACTCAAGTGACAGCACATGCTGGAGAGGATGTCGGCAGGATGTTCTAGCTTTCATTGCTGGTAGGGGTGAAAACTTGTACAACCACTTTGGAAATCAATTTGGTGGTTTCTCAGAAAACTAGGAAGAGATTTACCTGAAGACCCAGCTATAGCACTACTGGACATATACTCAAAAGATGCTCCACCATACCACAAGGACACTTGCCCCACTATGTTCATAGCAGCTTTATTTGTAATGGCCAGAAACTGGAAACAACCTAGATATCTCTCAACTGAAGAATGGATAAAGAAAATGTGGTACATTTACAGATTGAAATATTACTCAGCAATTAGGAACATCATAAAATTTGCAGGGAAATGGATGGAACCTGAGACTAATATCCTGAGAGAGGTAATGCAGATTCAGAAAGACAAACATGGTATGTACTCACTTGTAAGTGGATATCTGTCATAAAGTACAGGATAACCATGTTACAAATTACAGACTCCAAAAGGGTAAATAACAAGAATGGCCCAGCGGGGGTCACACCTGAGAAAAGGGGGAATAGATTAGGCATGGAGGGAGGTATAGGGGTGGACTGTGCAGGGAGGTGGGAGGGATGGGAACAGGAGGGACCATGTGGAGGGAAAACGGAGGAGAGAGTACTAGGAGGAACAACTGGGGGTGGGGGCATCTCTGGGATGAGCTAGAAACCTTGGATAGAAACTCCCAGGAACCTGTGAGGGTGACCCCAGCTAAGACTTCTAGCAATGTGGGATATGGAAGCTGAACCAGCCACCTTCTGTACCCAGGCAAGACTTCCAATGGAGGGATTGGGACACCAACCCGGTCACAAAACCTTAGACTCAAAATCTGTCCTGCCTACGGGATATGCAGGGGTGAGGGAAGGAGCAGAATATGAGGGAAGGGGAAAAAAAAAAAATCAATGACCGGTCCAGCCTGAGACCCATGCCATAAGAAGGAGACCACTCCTGACAGTGTTATTTATATTCTGCTATATTTGCAGATAGGAATCTAGCATGAATGTTGTCAAAGGGGCTTAATGCAGCAACTGTTGGAAACGGATGTAGAGACCCAGAGTCAAACACTGAATGGAGATTGGGGAATCTTGTGGAAGAGGGGGAAGAAGGATTCAGGGAGCCAGAGAGGTCAAGGACACCACCAGAAAACCTACAGAATCTAACCTGGCCCCATGGGGGGGCTCATGGAAACTTAAGTGCCAACCAGAGAGGTCCATGGGATGGACCTAGGCCCTCTGCACATAGGTAGCAGATGTGCAGCTGAGTCTTCATGTGGGACTCCTAAAGTGGGAACAGGGGCTATCTCTGACTATACTGCCTGCCTTTAGATCTGTTTCCCCTAACCAGGCTACCTTGTCCAGCCTCAATGGAAGAGGATGCACCCAGCCTTGCTTTGGCTTGACGTGCTGGGGCTGGCTGATGAGCGTGGCTCTCTTCCTCTGTAGAGGAGAGAAAGAGTGGACTGGGGTGGGGGGGCCAGGTAAGAGGGAAGGACTGGACCAGAGGAAGGAGAGGAAGCTTTGATCAGGATGTAAAGAGAATAACTTAGTAAAACAAACAAACAAACAAACAAACAAGCAAAAACACAAAACAAACAAAAACACAAAACCCAAAAACACAAAACAAGCCAGTAATAAGCAAAGCCAAAGCACTCTGTCAGCTGGGCATTAACCTTGCCAAATGGAGTCTCCACATATTTTTCAGTTCTTCCTTCTAAAATTTCGGGATCATCCAAGCCTGTTCCACCAATTATTCCAATCTAGGGGAGAAAGGAGAAGAAAGAAGATTGTCATATCTGGTCATGTTTCAATTTAAGCAAAGATACTTAACCATATTTACAGCTCCACCCCTATTCCTACCAATCCCCAAAGGGAAGCAACTCTGAAAATTACTGAAGAATGGTAAACCTGTAAAGGCCTTTTATTAAAAAGAATTAAAGCAAAAACAACAACAACAACAACAACAAAAAACCTCAAACAAAACAATAAAACTCGATGATCTTCTCTATTCTTGAAATAGCCAAAGCACAGGCCGCTGTTTTCGACTGCACCACATTTATTCCCAATTGAATCACAAATAAACAGAATGTGACTTTTAGGTTAGAAATTGAGCCCCAAAGTTGTAGAAAGAACTTTCTGGTCAAGGTTGCTTCTCTACCACATTTCAATGGAGTAAAGAAAGTTTGATATAAAAACTTAGGCCTATTTCTTTGATAATGGCACGTTTTTACTATACCATGATATAAAATAAGAAGCTTTCTTATTTCTTATAACCGTCTGGAAGGGAATGCAGGTTAAAGAGGAGTGACGTGACAAGCTCACACTAACATATACACTTGCTAAGTCAAAGTGCTGTTCACATGTACACATAAACAGCAGACGGCACGTCGTACATTGTATAATTCAAATACTTATTCGCAGTAGTTTTAACTTTTAAATTCAAGCATTTTTTTTCCAGTTTCCTGAGACTTCCTGGAAATCTATGTTCTTGGAAAAAGTGGAGAAAGAAACCCGATTCTTTGAGTTGACCTGGAGTTGGAGAGAGGCTTAACAGTTAAGAACGTTCCCAGCAACCATACAGTGGGTGGCTCGCAACCATCTGTCCCCCAGTTCCAGGAGATCTGACACCTTCTTTTGGCTGCTGAGGGCAAAGGGCATATATGGTGCACAGACACATGCACACAGAACACCAATGCACATAAAATAAAAATAAATGAATCTTTAAAAAAAATTGAGTTGATCTAACAAAGTCTAAGAAACAAACAAGAACAATTACAAAGACGAATATTAAAGTCTTAACATTAAAAGGTTAAGTAACATTATCATTACGAAACTTTTCCTGTGTTGACTCCCTAAAGAAGACAGGACTTAAAACAGGTCAATGGCAGGCCACAACATGGGACTTTGGAAGAAACCTCATAGAAAACGACCCTAGCACTTTTTACAATGAAAAGGTATAAACGTATTCTCACTGAATAATATTTTAACAACAAAGTAAAATAGAAGTTTCTGACTCGACAGAGTAAAGTTCCAAAATAAAGAGTTTGTGAGATTGTGCTGTAGAATGGCGGCCGATTTACAGGTCCTGGTGGCTGAAACAGTTGACATTTGGTGCCACCTTGTGGTTCACTATTGAAATTTACAGCAGATGTATTTCATATCAACGAAATAGGAAAGACTGACCAATAAATATATTGGTGTTTTCAAATCAACATCAGTTATTCCTTCAATATGCTTAAGATCAACACATCTATAAAATTACTCCGTTTTATAGACTTCTAGCATTTCTTCTGGCATGGCTTCTCCATCGTATCTTTCAGGTACCTGGGCTAACAGACTGTCCAGCCCGTGTCCTGACACTGGGCAAAAAAGAAAGAGCAACATACGAAATGATCATCACCCGACTCATTGGAAATTTAGCTACTATGCTTGGAGGCAGGAGGAAAGTTCAAGGTTGTCTTCTGGTATATAGGGACCCTGTGGCCAGCCTGAGCTATATATACAACATGAAACAAAAGCCAAAATTGAACAAATAAAAACCTTCAAACTTTTTATTTATGACCAGTTTTCTCAGTCATTTCAAGACGTTCCCTAGGCCACAGTAGCTCAGATTTTGAGTCAACACTGAACTTTCAGGCTTGAATACAAAACAGATCTCATTTTGTTTTAGAATCACTCTCAGAATGCAGCAAACTAGTACAGTATAAAAGCAGCAACTGGAACAGGCTAGCTCCTGAAACTCGTACTCCCTTATTTGCCAGCTTTAGCTCCAGTCCAAACCCTCCCAGAAACAAGATGGGCCTGCATTAGGTAGCTCAGCCCTCAGCAAGGAGTGGACAATACTTGTCACGAAATCAAACTGACCAGGAAGGCCAAAGCAGTCTACAAAGCCCACCCAGTCATCCAGCTGGCTGGCATTGTTAATGGAAACCTACATCTACACCTAAACCTGCTAGAGGAAACCAGAGTGACAACTGAATACTATACTGCCACACCAGGGAACAGGGCCTTCAGCGGCCTGCAGTGCCAATATGTGGCCAACATCACCACCTGCTGGTGGCAGAGGCAAACTACAGCTGGATGAAGCTCCCAAAATTCACATGCTGAATGCTTCATGGGCCTCACTCTGATTTTCAGACACTCTTACAGAGGTCCTAAGGTATTAGCCCTGCTTTACAAACAAAGAGTAGCACCGCTATTTGCCGGCTTGAGCACCAGGTGGCAACTCCCAACACCCTCTGGGGTCTTCCAGGAGCTCAAAGTCTACTAGAAAGAGTCACTGTCTCTACGATAGGAAGAGACTGACCCTTGGTCAGGACAAGCTTTTGCTCAAGATGACAGAACACACTATACAGAGCCTCTGGGTAGCTGGGTGAGCATCTAAGTCAGTAGTTCTCAACAGTCCTAATGCTGTGACCCTTTAATACAGTTCCTGACTCGTGGTGACTGCCAATCAGAAAATTATTTGTTACTTGATAAGTGTAGTTTTGCTACTGTTATAAATCTTAATGTAAATAAATATCTGATATGAAATCCCCAAAGGGGTGGTGACCCACAGGTTGAGAACAATGATTCAGGAAGCCACTGACATATCCGCCATCCATACTTAGGAGGCAGGAAGACCTTGCTAGATCCCAAATCCAGGTAACTCTAGAATGCCTAAAAATGGGTTCAAGTGCTGAGATAGAATTGATGGTTCAACTCTGTACATCCAGGAAGTCTGCACAAACAAAGGTTTCTGAAAGAGGGACACATTTAATTGCTCATAATTCTCCCCAATTTCCCACCAGTCACCTCAAAAAGAATGCCTGTGACATTGTTTACAGCTACTTTCCCTGAAACAGGAGATATTACCTACCCATCTGTTTCAAGGTACCCTATGCACTTCCCCTGGTACCTCAAAACCAGGACTTCACCTACCTCACCTGATCTCAGGAACCATCCTTCTGAGCCTTGTATGCCCTGCCTCCCAGATATACTCTCAAAACACCAAAGACAGAACAGCTGAGATGAACTCATGTCAGGAAGACGGGCAGCTTTTGAGTATGTCAAGTTCAAGATGAGGAAAGTCAGCTGGGGTGGAATCTGGCCCAATCCCTATCTGGGATTTCAGTCCTTCAGCTCCAGTTAGCACCAACAAATATGGAAATACTATGTGTGTGGTCTTACAGGATCCCACTGAAACCACAAAGTCCAGATTTATGGGGACCAAGAGGCCAAATGCTTGAGCCTGGGAGGTCTGTACAGAACCTAGAATATGAACTAAACAACATATCCCCAAAGTAAGGGTGATGGTTTGTATATATTGGTAGATATAGCCTTGTTACAGTAGGTGTGTCACTGTGGGTGTAGGCTTTAATACCCTAGTCCTAGTCCTAGCTGGCTGGAAGTGAGTATTCTGCCAGCAGCCTTCAGATGAAGATGTAGAACTCTCAGCTCCTCCTGCACCATGCCTGCCTGGATGCTGCCATGTTCCTGCCTTGATGATAATGGACTGAACCTTTGAACCTGTTAGCCAGGCCCAATTAAATGTTGTCCTTATAAGAGTTGCCTTGGTCACGGTGTCTGTTCACAGCAGTAAAACTCTAACTAAGACAGTAAGCTTTCTCCACAGGGAATGCCTATGAGCCAAACTAATAATAGCTTGCCCCAGTCCGAACCTATATACGGATGTCGTGATGCTCAGTACTTGAGTATATTTAGAGACAGGGCAGAACCTAAAAAAACAAAACAAAACAAAAAAAACTGGCACACTTACCAAAAGACACTGCAACAGAGAGAGACAGATACACCCAAGAGGAGCCTGTGCACTGAAGTTCCCAGAGAAGATGCCACTCCCAGCTTAAAGATTCTATAAGGCTGAAGGACTGATTAGAACTTCTGGATTGTTGCAGGTCCAGATTAAATCTTAGACCATTCCACTGGCTCTCTTGCCCACCCACAGATAAGACACTGTCTTATCTAATACCCTAGTTACCAGGAGGTGAAACCTTCTGGAATGTTCTGGTCTAGCAGACCACTAAGTTCTAGCAGTGGGAAGCTAAGACGGTCATCAGACGGAATCTGAGAGACTTCTGCTCTGCTGTACGTTGTCTAATCTCAGTTCTCAGCAATGTATTTGAATTTTATCCTGTAACAAAATAAACTTCATGAAACCATTGACAGATACACTGGGACATTTTCTTTGGGGCCACTTCTATCCATGTTCCTGGGGTGCAGCTCATTTTGCCTCAAATACCTCTTATTTGCTTTGAGGATTTTTTTTTGGGGGGGGGGTCAAAATATATGGAAAACACGGCCACCCTGAATCACAGAAGAAACCAATCCTCTTGGCAATACTCTGGTTATCTGGGACAACCAGCCTCCAGTACTGTGAGGTACTGTTGGCTGAGCAGGCTCTCCAGTCCACTGAGCTCTGCTAAGGCCATCCTAGCAACCTAACACAGTCACAAAAGTCAGAGGAGTCTGGAAGGCCTGGAAGATCTGAATAGGCTCTAGGCACCTGAAGCTAGTACATTTCACACCTAAAATCAACTATTTGGGGAGCATCTTCCTCAAAACTCACTGTGTTCCCTCCAAGTCTCTTTTGCTTGTGGAATAAGGGCAGGATGTGGCCTAAGTTCCTTGCTACTCAGCCAATGGGTATCAGCAGCCCCTTTTGCCAAATGTCAGGTCCCAAACTGCAGAAGATCTGATTAACGGGCAAGCATACATTTCATCCGAAGCTTGTTTGTTGGTTCCAGTGTGTTGCTCTGCTTTA